CACACACACACACACACACACACACACACACACACACACACACACACCCCGAAATACTTATGGCAGCACTTTTTGTAGTAGCAAAGAACTGGAAAGAAAATAAAGCTCCATGGATTAGTAAATGGCTAGACAAATTATGGTACTTGAATATATGATGAATACAGGGAAGCATTGATACATCTACATATACTGATGCAAAGTAAAGTTAGCAGAGCCAAGAAAACAGTACACATGACTACATCAATGACAATGAAAAAAAACCTGCAAAATGAATGTTGCAAAATTACAAAGAATAAGGTTGACTCCACAGAAGTGCTATGAGAAAACACTTACTCCTACATCTTTATCTACATAGATTTGGGAGGGGGCTTCATGGGTGTGAAACACTGAATATATTAGATTATTTTTTGGATGTGTTGATTGGTTTTGCTGTCTTTTTTTGTCTTATTTTTATTTTAAAAATTCTTTGTTATAAGGGAAGGCTCTCAGAGCAAGGAGGTAAAGAGGAATTTTAGGCTTTGTAAAACAAAAGATAGCAATAAAATTTATTTTTAATAAAGAAGCAGAGTTGGTGAGGGAGTACATTACAAGTATGGGGAAACAGTATATCCAAAGGCAAGAAGACAGCATATATAATATCATCTAAAGGTAATAGCAAATAGGGCAGTTTGGGTAGAATATAAAGTGTATGAATGAAAATAATGTGCAGTAAAACTAAAAAGTAGGCTGGAGACAGATTATAGACTGAGCTAATCAGCTAGTTCATAATATTACATAGGGAATGATAGTTTCTCTGGACATAAAAGGTTAAATTTAAAAAAAAATGTTTGACATTGTACACAGTAACATCCACGTTGTGCAATGACTAACGTTGGTAGACTTAGCCCTTTTCAGCAATGCAAGGATCTAAGCCATCTCCAAAGGTCTCATGTTGGAAAATGCTATACACATCCAAAGAAAGAACTGTGGAGTTTGAATGCAGATTGAAGCATACTATTTGATATTTTTTTTCTTCTGTTTTGTTTTGTTTTCTCTTTGTTCTGGTTCCTCCTATTGGTTCTAATTCTTCCTTACAACATCACTAATGTGAAAATATGTTCAATAGGAATGTATATGTGTAGTCTGTATCAGATTGTGTGCTGTCTGGAGGAGGGGAGAGAGGGGGAGAAAAATTTAAAACTCAAAGACTTATGGAAGTGATTGTTGATAAATTAAAATAAATTAATTTTAAAAAAATTTAAAAAAATTTGTTCGACTTTCCAGTAACCTGTTATGAACATTCCCTATGATTTTAAACCCTGTTCTTAAGGAAATCTAATTCTGGACTTTGTAGCTGTTCCGGCACATGGTTGTCATTTTATGAATAGTAGTTACTGTCTTTCATTCATTCAACAAGTATTTCTGGACCAGGCACTGATAAGTACTGGGGATACAAAGACAAAAAACAATTCCCTATCATCAGTGATAGCAAGTAGACTAGTGTGGCTGGAATATAGTGTATGAAGGAGAGTAGTGTGTAATT